GAAAGAAAGAATTCTAGTCAGCGTGTAATTGCGTGTAACTCTTTGTACATTTAGCATTACACCCTCCAGGTTCCAGTACGGTTCGAGGTAGTAAACTACTAGCACGAAATGCCACCGGCGTCGCTGCAACACGTGATCGTCCAGGACTGGTGCGAGGTTCTGCCACCGCCACTGCAGCCTCGCGTGCTCCCGCTCACGTCTTCAACCTCGTCTTCTGGGGCTTCCCTCGCATGCAACACGTCCTCTTCTACCACGTCACCAACCATGACGTCCCGCGCTTCCTCTGCCGCGAGCTGCCACTCTTGAAGGCGTCCCTCGCTGCCGCATTGCACCACTTCTACCCGCCGGCCGGGAGGTTGCCGTGCGAGTTGCCGGCCAAGCCCGAGGTCGCGTGCTTAGATGGTGACTCTATTCGTCTCAAGGTGGCTGTCGGCGCCGACGACTGACTTGGGCGACCTTGCGGGACACCACCCACACTCTGTTAAGGATGACATTCGAGGAGACCACAAAGGGAGGAGGTTGAGCAAGGACCCCGGGTAATCGACGAGGAGCTCCTGCGAGAACGCCGAAAACATGGCTCCGAACGGGGTGAGGAAGAGAGATCGTGCGACGTTTTTGTTTTGTTTTGATAATGGCTTCGTTGGGAACTGAACGAGCCACTTGTTTTGAACTAAAAGTTACAGAGGGACTAAACTACACCTAGCTCGAGTTGGCTGGTGGATAAAGAGCATAATTGGTTTGTTGCCAAAAATTGACATGCCAATGTTTGGCATTATACCAAATAGTGACTACTAATTGGTTGGTTACCGAGTTGCGTTGCCTATCTCACATAAAGTTACCAATATTTGGCAAGTCTTGATATTGCCAACATTTGGCTAGCCAAATATTGGCTGCAAACCAATTATGCTCAAACACCTCTAATCATAGCCATTGATTTGCTTTAATTTTCATGCAAAAAAACTTCCCGAAAAGCATAGGAGCCGTCACAGTGCCGTTCTACCCCGTTGCCAGGTCATACGCATACACACACAGTACACGAACTGTTATCACCTGGTATCTTCGACCGTATTTCCATCAGCACTAAATGCAACACCCACGCCTCGCTGTTCCATTGGTCCACCAAGCGGGAGCGTGCGAGCTCGTTCGCTATATTGCCACTCTCACCAAAGGCGATATTGTAGAACAAATTTTCTTAGTCGCGCACACGTGTTTTTTTTGCGGATGATGCGCACATGTGTTAAATTCATAGATTGTAATGGTGTTATTGTTGCCGCCTATGTTTTATACTTAATTTGTTGATGACTTTGGTAATTGCCTAGCATCAACTTCTATAAAAAATAGTTTTGTGCATCGCAATGATGTAGAAGCCGGAGATTTCAATCTCCTTTTCAAGGAATAAAACATAAATGATAGCCTGGTCACAGGCTCATCAGATGCAATCATCTTTTCAATTACTTTTCTTGTCTTCACGGGCATTCATGTCTTCCCTCTCACCATGCATTTAAATAGAAAAACAATTCATGGAAAGTAAGCTTGGAGAAAAAACAAACACTTGATCGGTAGAAATTAACAAGCAAATTTATCAAGTTACAAGAACAACACAAATAAATCCTGATCAGGAAGTTAATTAACATAGCAAGACACGATAGAACATTGTAGCAAACTGAAACATTACTAGGACACACACACACACATACACACCAGCAGGCCGCACACCATTTTGAGGCTATGACCTATCAGACACCACACGGATGTCTCTGCCGTACGTAGAGGCTGGCTCTACATACCATCCAGGTTAATTGACTCGTCCGGGGCTTGCTCTAGGTGATTCCTTATGTTGGTGACCACTTTGGGGCATGGCGAAGCTTGCAGACAAGGCCACCAGCGACGCGGTACGGCGAGCTCCGCGTCCTTGACGGCGCACCCATGCTCCGTTTCACCACGCGGGCATGAATACTAGGTGTCCGTTGAAATGCCTAAGAGAGAAAGAGGATGAGGAAGAAGAAGATATATGCGGACATGTGGGACCCACATGTGATAACGGTTAACTTAACTGTCAAAATAAACAGAGTTGACTTTGCCGCCACGTCAGCCCTGACACATGGGTCCCGCATGTCATATACTGGTTTAAAATCATAAAAGCGGCCATCAACTCGAGTTGGTAGTTTTAGTCAGAAAATTTCAAAATTTTGATAGTTTTCGGTCACTTTTAAAATTGTGTTAGTTTTGTGGGACGCATGCATGTAATGTGGTAGTTTTTTGTAAAACACTCTAGTCGTGTGTTTTAAATTCATAGATTGTGATGGTTATATCATTGTCACCTATGTTTTACACTCCACATGTTGATGACTTTGGTCGTTGCCTAGCATGAACTTCAATAAAAATGGCTTTGTCCATCTCAATGATGTAGATGCCCAATATTTTAATCTCCATTTCAAGGAACAAAACATAAAACATAGCCTCACCACAGGCTCATTAGATGCAATCATATTTTCAATTACTTTTCTTGTCTTCACGAGCATTCATGTCTTTCAATTCACCATGCAATTTAATAGAAAAATATTTTGCAGAAAGTAAGCTTGGAGAAAACAAACACTTGATCAGTAGAAAATTAACAAGCATGCTCATGAAGTTACCGCTTTATTAGCCTTACAACTTACAAGCGCACGAGACAACACCCATAAAACTCTATCAGGTAGAGTTAATTAACATAGCAAGACACGATAGCAAGAACATTGTAACAAACTGAAACATCAGCAGGCCGCACAACATCTTGAGGCCATGTGACACCACACGGCCGTTATGTATGGCTTTACCGTACGTAGAGGCTAGCAACCTCTACTACATACCATCCATGTTGACCTGCCCGCCTGACCCTCCTGATACAACCGGGTGATTTCTGGACCTGATCTCGACAACTTCCTCCGTCCGAAAAACCTCCGTAGTTGCCAACTTGCTGTGCTTCTGTAGGTCTGCACAGGTAGACACACACGTAGCGAATCATTAGCAACTAGTGCAATACTTCAGCTGTGGCGTTTTCAGAGCGTTTACGTACCCTTGTCGTCCTCGGCGCGGGCGCTGTAACCGGTGACGCGCTGGACGAGGTCGTAGAACACGTCCAGGAGCTGGGACGCGAAGCTGGCCATGGGATCGGAGCTGGTGCTGCCGTGCTGGGTAATACAAGCTGCTGTGTTACCGCCACTAGCTTAGCTAATCGAACAGTCTAGCTGCTTGCTGCCTTGCTCTTCTTGGCCAGCTGCTGACTGCTTGCTTTGAGCTGTGAGTGGCGGCTGTTGAGTGAGTCATGTTGCCCTCGCCGGGGGACGGTATTTATACACGGCGCGGCGCCACCAACCGACCACGCGCACCGGCGTTCTTCATATACAAGGCCCACGCGCGTGCGGGCGCTAGGACGTAGTGCCACACTCGTACTGAGAGCGCGACAGGTCAGTACGTACTCCACTACCAGCGTTATTGGATGGAGGGAGTCGTAATTTCTCGATCGGCATGCATGTGAATCATGCATATGTCCATAGTCCACCCGCGTCTTCTGGTCGATCACATTCGCATATGGATGGACCGTCTTCTTTTTAGTGCAACTTGCTCCAAAGAGACGCCACCAGCTACAGGAAAATGCACCGGGCATGGAGAGTTGTCGATTGTCCACTATTAACAGCAAGACCGATGCAAGGCGACTATTGAACGACCAAATTGCACCATCAACTTGCTTGATGATCCGATATAATATGCACATATGTTATTATAGCGAATTTGCATCGTCAGCTTGGGGTTCGTAATTTGCCGTGGCTCTGTTTTGCGCATGCACGACGAGAGCATCCTATCTCCCAAAATCGTCGGGTTGTCCCCTACCCGTATGCCACCCGGAACAGCAGCCAAGAACGTTCACATTCCACATGGTGTGACACGTTTGCATGCCTGGTGGGGCATGCCGGCATGGGGGTGCCTACTGGGATGGGTCAGCGTAGCCCACACTATGATGATGCGTGATCACGACGCATGATCATATTCGCGTGCTTTGTCGTTATGATCGGAGCTCTCGATGGTACACATACGGAAAGCCTCTCCGGTCTAGATTTACATAATGAAGTGGTTCGCAAATGGTGAAAATCAGAGGAGCTTACACGAAAATCAAGGGGATCATTCTTTTTGTTTTTTCTTCACATTTTTGTTTCTGTTTTTCTCCATTTTTTAAAATGTTATCAAAAATATATTTTGAAAATATTTTAATTTTACTAATTTTTGAAAGACTGTTTGATGTGTACCTACAAAATTGTTAATTGTGCATTCTAGAAAAATGTTCATTGTATATTTAAAATATATATCGTGTGTTACAAAATGTTTATCATGTGTATAGTGTGTTATAAAAAAAGTTTCATGTTATTAAGAAAAAAGTGCTACATATTTATAAAAATGTCCTTGTAATTTTCTTGTGTATTTGCCAAAAATTCTAATGTATAATTTTAATGTTATTGAAAAGGTGTTCACTAGTTTTTGTTATTCTGTAACTTTTACATGTGTGTGGAGAAAACTCAACCATTATTTAAAAATCTTCATGTATTTATAAAAAAATGTTCAAGTAGTATTTTTCAAGGTTTTTAAAAAGAGTTCAATATGTATTTTTTATTTAATTGACAAAAAATAAAAATATATGGAAAAATACAGAAGAAACAAAGAAGGAAAAACCTTAAAGCAAACCAAAACTATCTCGCATAGAACTGGGGGAAACCG